ATCTGTATTTATTGTACCAGTTTCGGTCTATAGAGCTGTTCTCTCATTACAGAAAGAGAGAGAGAGTGATGGCTGGTGGTGACTTTAATCTGAAGGTCACCACGCCTCAGGATGAGGGGCAAATTTGAAAAGTCAGGACCTTTATGGTAACCTCAGATGGTGCTCGACCCGAAATGTTAACTCTGATTTCTGTCCACAGGTGCCGCCAGACCTGCTGAGCTTTTCCAGAAATTTCTGTTTTTGTTTCTGAGCTAACCAACACCCCCACCCTACCCACCCCATCCCTCACCTCTTAGGTTTGGTACATGCAGGTGGAAGCCATTGGTTTTGGGTGGGATGCTCTTCAGACGGCCAGTGCAGACTCAATGGGCTGAATGGCCTCTATCTGCACTGTAGCCTGATGCAAGTTTTACACAAAGGATTGTAGCTTTGTTTTCACCATAACAAAGAACACTTTTCAATTCCAGATTTTATTAATTTACTTTAAATTCCACCAGCTTAACATGCACCCCACCCCTCCCCGCCAAGACTGTATCAGGTAGGAGTAGGCCATTCGGCCCCTCAGGATTGCCACACGATTCAGTAAGATCAAAGGTTATTTGGATGGAACTCTACTCGCCCACCCTTTGTTTGTGTGAAAAAGCTAACTGAGCTCGGTCCTGAGTATATTGAACAGCTGAGAATCCACAGCTCTCCCAGGTACCTCTAACTACAGACCACTGTTTCATTTACCGGTCAATTTTTCACATCTGCCTCTCCAATTATTTAAGACTAAAAGATCCAGAGGTATCAGAAGCAGAATCAATGGTAACTTTAAATAAAAAAGGAATCGATCAAAGACTTGAAAGGGATATAATGACAGCAGTATGAAGGAAGAGATAGTGAGAACTGCAGATGCTGGAGTCAGAGACAGCACAGTGTGGAGCTGGAGGAACACAGCAGGTAGCTCCTCTGATGCTGCACACTGTGAGGGAAGACATGCTGGGGAGTGGATAGCTCTTACAAAGCAATACATAGGAATAATGGGCTACAAGGCATCCTCGTCTACTGTATCATTCTGTGATTATGTGAAGGACTTCTCTCTTGGTTCTTTAAACTGAAATAAATTACATTTACAAATGTCCTCCACCAATTCAATGTATTTTGAATCTATAGTATAAGACTTTCAACAATCTGCTGCTTCTCTGAGTTGTGAAAGCATCATAGATTCATCCATTTCTGAATCAATACGTTTCAGAATGTAACATACTAACTATTCGTTCTGTTCCCAGTCACACAGCATAAACCAAACTCACACATTGCAAATAGCAGAGCAGCTCACTCCATAGGACCACAATCCTGACTCTCTCGGTCTGACAGCAAACCCTTAGCAGGAGTAGGCCATTCAGCCCCTCGTGCCTGCTCCACCACTTAACATGATCATGATTGATCTCTTCTCAGCTTCAACTCCAAAACCTTTCAACCGGTTACTGATCAAAAATCTGTCTCCAACTTAAATGTACTCAGTGTCCCAGCATCTACCACCCTCTGGGGGAGTGAATTAATTCCACCGCATCTTTGTTTTAGAGCTACTACCCCTATTATCCAAAAAAAACGCTGGTTCCAGATTGCCCCACAAGGGGAAATGTACTTTCTGTGTCTACTTTATCAATCACCTGTGCACCCCAATTTACAACTCATTCAGCAATCCTGTCAATGCTCTAACTCAATGGGTCAGATGTTGATAGTTGAGGAGCAGTGAACATGCCTCACATAGAAGGAATCCTTTTTTCTGCATGGGCAACTTGTTGGAAAATGAGATTGTTGTTTTTGACTGGCAAAAACTCAATGGGCTGAAGGACCTTTTATTGTGACTGTGACTCTCAATCTTCTAAACACCACAGAACTGTGGCCAAATCTATAATTTCCACATGCTCTTGACTGTATAGTTTCTCCTCGAAAATTCTTGAACAAGATGCAGGGCTTTTTTTTTAACCAATGTCACACTTATAAATATAATACCAACCGTCATGTGTGACTTTAGATTTTAAAAAATGGGGTGGAATGTCAAGGGCAATACTTGGATTCTCTCTTGTTGGAGATATCATTGCCTGGCAGTTGTGTGGTGTAAACGTTACTTGTCACTATCCAAACCTGGATATTGTCCCAGATTGTGTTGCATTTGAACATGGATTGCTTCAGTATGCAAGGAGTCAGGAATGATGCTGAATATTGTGCAATCATTGGCAAATATCCCCAGTGGGTGGCACGGTGGTTCAGTGGTTAGCACTGCTGCCTCACAGTGCTTGGGACCCGGGTTCGATCCCACCCTCGGGCGACTGAGTGGAGTTTGCACATTCTCCCCGTGTCTGCGTGGGTTTCTTCCAGTGCTCTGGTTTCCTCCCACAGTCCAAAGATGTGCAGGTTATGTGGATTGGCCATGCTAAATTGCCCATAGTGTTCAGGGATGTGTAGATTTGGTGGGTTATAGGGGGATGGGTCTGAGTGGGATGCTCTGAGGGTCAGTGTGGACTTGTTGGGCCGAAGGGCCTGTTTCCACACTGTAGGGATTCTATGAATGTGGTGATCTGGGATAGAAAGGCTGATTCGGGGGTTAGGCAGTTTGGGGGCGAAATCCAAAGCATTAACAAGCTTGGTGTTGGCTGGTAATTTATGAAGGACAAAGCAGCTGAGAGGGGGGAAAAGTATCCTGAACCCTGGACAAAATGATAGTCTTGATCAGTTCAACCAAATTTAATGAAGGGAAGTAAATAACTGGCAAAAGAAAACCCAACAGATTTCACACACAGAAGATATGCAAGAGCTTAAGGTAAGATTGGAGGCAGCAGTGAGTGAATCTTACATCTCTCTCAGAAAAGAGCATTACAGTCAAATACTTTTTCTGTTCTGGTCCTTTCTCTGACAACCTACACCTGCAATTTATTAAACAAACAGATCAGAAGAAGCGCAAAATGTCCAACTGGAGAAATCAAAGGCAGTGAAACCAGGAAGCCAACGAGACAATCTGTTTCAGGTTCTCCTTCCAGGCCTAGAACATTCTGTCGGGGCACATTTCAAACAAATGACCATAGCTAGCTTGGGTCCCCCGGTACATGTGACAACTCAGTAAAAAAACTGCTCCAATAAATGCTGGGTAACTTACTGCAGGAATGCCTGACAAAGGACCCAAAATGAGAGGTCATAGTTTTAGGATAAGTGGCAGCAGATTTAAAACAGAGTGAGGGGAAATTACTTCTGTCAAAGGGTCATGAATCTGTGGAATTCGCTACTCCAGAGTGCAGTGGATGCTGGGACATTGAATGCCCTGGCAGACAGCCACTGGAAAATGTTGGCTAGTCTTCCAGTTGCAAAGGGTTACAACCACTGGCTTCCTCCCATTCTGACCTCTTGTGAATTCCTGATCTCCTTTAAGCCTCCATCAGCAGCCATGCTTTAAGCTGCCTGGGGAGACTGTGATGTCGTGGTCCCGTCCCTGATCTACTCATCCAATCAGGCCCAGGTAACACCCTGGGCACCATGGGGTCAAATCCCACCACAGTGGCAGGTAGAAATTCAACTCTTAGATGTTGGGGGGAATAGAAAACTGGTCTCAGTGATACCATGGAATCATTATCAATCGCTGTTTGTGGTTCACTCATGTCCTTTAGGGAAGGAAATCTGCTGTCCTCACCAGGTCTGGCATATCTGTGACTCCAGACACACAGCAATGTGATTCACTCTTACCTACCTTGTGAGTCGCTGAGTTCCCAGTTAATGAGGGGTGGGGAAAATGTGTGAAGCACTGCCAAAACACTGAGAAATCACTGGAATTCCCTCCTCACCTCTCAATTCCTTTGGGATGCTCCTTAAAACCTACATTTTTGACCACCTGTTTGGTCATCTTACCTTATATGGCTGGGAGTCACTTTAATATTCAATTTAATAATGGCCCTGTGAAAAGCCCTGGGACATGATGTTAAAGGCACTACACGAATGCAAGCATTTGTTACAGAGTCATAGGGTCATACAGCACGGAAACAGATCCTTTGGTCCAACTCATCTACACTGACCAAGTTTCCCAAACTAATCTAGTCCCACTTGCCTGCATTTGCTCTTATCCCTCTAAACCTTTCCTATTCATGTACCTGTCCAAATGTCTCTTAAATGTTGTAACTGCACCACTTCCTCTGGCAGTTCATTCTACACACGAACCACCCTCTGTGTGAAAAAAATTGCCCCTCAGATCCCTGTTAAATCTTTCTCCTCTCACCTTAAACCTATGCCCCCTAGTTTTGAACTACCCCACACAAGGAAAAAGACCTTGGCTATTCACCTTACCTCTGCCCCTCATGATTTTATAAACCTACCCCCTCAACCTTCGACGCTCCAGAGAAAAGGAAGAATTGAAGGTGAGATCTACCAGCTTGAGGTGTACAGAGCGTGGGGCAGGGAGGCAAACATGGAATATCGAGGAATGTAGCATTGAAGGCTTCTTCACACAGCTTCCTTTCCAGAGTTCATACATGCAATAGTAATTGGGCTCCAGTGTGTAAATCTAATCTTCTCTTCAAAACGGACCAATCATTCAACTCATCTGAGAACCAGAGATAGGGCCACAGAACCAACGCTGGCCTACTGCCAGCCCCAGTACTGCATGAAGCCACCTCCCCCTCTCCCTCCCCATTCTCACAGTGAGGGACAACATGTTTTCCACTTACCCGCTGGCCCACAAATCTGAAGAGGCACGTTTACTACAGCCGCGTAAAGATTTGTGAGAGCTCCAGTCGCTCTCAGCAGCTCATATTAATTACCCAGTAACAACAGACGAGAGCTTAGTGAGAGGCCAGACCCGGCTGACATAAGGAATAGTTGCTTTCCTGTCTTTTGCCTAATATGGAGACAAGATAACACGGTCGCTTGGCTGTGCCTCTGAACATATTTCCTGTCGCTGCTGTAAGTCCGATGAAGCCAGAGTTTTGAGTCTGGTTGGCTGTAAGAGAATCTCAATGACAAATTCATACCATTGCACTTAAAGCAAAAATGAACTCCGCTGCATGTATTCTGTTTGACCCTTGTGTTTTGAGTCAGAGAGGGGTGTGTACAGCACTGCAGGAATGTGGGCAAGTAACACCAGACCAAAATAAAACAGGGCAACTTGTATTCACTTGGTGGATTGACCCGGGAATAAGGGAAGGTGGGACAGACTGGGCATGTTTCCACTGGGGTTTAGGAGAGTGAGGCGGGGGGGTGCCTGATTGAAGTGTATCAGGTCCTGAAGGGTCTTGACCAGGTGGATGTAGAAAGGCTGTTTCCAGAACCAGAGGCGCTGTTTTAACATGATGCATCAGACGTTTGAGACGGAGATCAAGAGAATTTGTTTTCCCCGCAGAGGGTTATGTGACACTCCCTTACAAGGTGGTTGCAGTGAACTGATTGAATACATTTCAAAACAGAAGTAGATTCTTGTCAAGTGGGGGTGGGGTCGAAGGTTATCAGGGAACGCGGAATTTGAAACACAAACAGGACAGGCTCAGTTATTGAATGGCCCAGCAGGGCTGAATGACCGAATGGTCTGCTCCTATTTTTTGTCGATATCTATGTAAACCTGATACTCCATCTATGTCACAAGAAGAACGACATTAAAATTAGGAGAATAAGGAGGCCATTCAGCCCCAAAAGCCTGCCCTGCTCTTCAGAAAGATCATGATTTATCTAATTGTGGCATGAAATCCATTTCCTTCCTGTCATCCCTAACCCTGAGGGAGCTGTACACTGTCAGAGGGTCAGTGCTGAGAGAGTGCCGCACTGTCAGAGGGTCAGTGCTGAGGGAGAGCCGCACTGTCGGAGGGTCAGTGCTGAGGGAGTGCCGCACTGTCGGAGGGTCAGTACTGAGGGAGTGCCGCACTGTC